CTGCGATGCAAACAAAGCGCACGGTGAAGGAGTTGAGGACGAGTCCTGTGTATGATCCCGCGGCGATCTTCCGAGAGGACTACTCAAAGTGGAGTTGACTCTAAGATTCGCGACAAGCTCCATGCCTCTTGGCGTCTGCGGCGAAGAGTTAAACGGAGTGACCGCCCAAAGCACAGGACCACCTCTCGTTGCACCACCAGAGCCAGCACTCGACAGTTCCCGGCGTTGATCTTGAGTCACATGAGTGTTATCCTTCGGTGCTAAACTAGACGACGGATGGTTCGACGGATTTCCAGTGTGTTCCGAAGTGTCCATCTCATCATCCTTCTCCTTAGCGCCGCTATCATCGTCAGCATCATCACCCTTGCGTCTCCAAATGAACGGGACAAAGTCAGGGTCCGGAATGTATCCTGCCGGCTCCCTCCTGAACGTGAAAGTGTAGCCCTTGAGCTTAACCACCACATCTGAAGCAACAAAAGGCCCAGCGTCGTCCTTGTCCTTTGACAAAATCTGAGAGTTAGTCATACCCACGAGAATACGAACAACTCCACGGCGACGCAGGCTAATAAGATCCACGTCCAAGGTCTTGCCCATCAAAGTACCCACGGCCCATAAGCCCCAAAAATGGCGCACCGTATGGGGAACCCCCTCGACATGGAGCCAAATCTTCTGGAGCTCTAGCTTATGTGGGACCTCCTGAGACCTCCATGCGGTAACGGTCATCTGAGAATTAACAGACGGAACGGTCATCTGTATACCATCCACCCTGTCCAAGTCCTCGAAAGATGGAAAGCTAACAAGGTATGCATCATGCCCATGTTGAATAGCCTCCCACTTCCATTGATCATGTACCGGGCATCTCCTGGCAATCTGGCTCTCAACAATACTAGACGGTACCATTAAACCGGTAACCTGAACTCGGGCGATCGGAGACTGTGTTGGTGCTAAGTGATTTTTCACCACGCAATCAGGCAACTGGACAAAGTACGTCTCCTCAGCACCAACTCCCGAAACAAAAGCATTGGGTTTAGGGAGTTTGAGAACCGGACACTGCAGCGTTGGATGAGCGATTTTGTCACAAATATAACAGTAGTGTTGCACAGTGCAATCCTTCGCCGCATGCGTATCAACCGCACACTTCCAGCAACGTACCCCTTTCTTAGCCTTGTACTTGGGCGCCGTATCCACCTGCACATCAGACACTGGAGCAGCCAACGGTGTGACATCGACAGTAGCAGACCCTTGTGGCGTATTCTGCACAACCTGTTGATATTGCCCGTGCTGATATGAGTGCATGTGCTGTTGCGGTATGGATTGCTGCTGAAATTGTTGTTGAACTGGCACATGCTGCGGGGGGTGATGAAAACCATGTTGCAAATCTCCACCCGCATGGTGTTGCTGCTGCTGAGGCGGCTTCTTTTTTTTTGCGTTTTTGAGCCGGCTGAGCCACAACCCCACCAGGATGGAATAGCGGAGGGGCGGATACCCCAGTTGGCGGAACCCCGTACATGGACGGTTGCCCTCCGGTGAGGACCGTACCGTACGTCAAGGCGTACTGCCCTCCCTGGCCATATCCAGGGGACTGCTGCAGTGGTGGGCCATAGCTGTAGACCGGCGCCGGACCCCGCTGCTGATGTGGAGGACCGGAGTATCCCGGCGCCTGAGCCGAAGGACGCGAAGGAGCGGGAGTCGGCCCGACGATCGGAGGGGCACGAGGGCTTGGCCCTCCCGAGGCTACAGCGCCACGAGCCGTCGGAGGAACGCCCGCCATGGGGCGCTGAAGCGTCGCCGCGACCGCCGCGTAGGAGCGGGCAACGACCCCGGCGCTTGGGGGTGGAGCTGGAGCTGGAGTCGGCGACTGCGCGGTGTGCAGAGGTTCGGCGGCGGACGAGGGCGACGATGAATTGAGCGATGGAGTTGCTGTGATCGCGGTCTGCTGATTAGGGAAACCTGCCCAGATCGCCCGCATACGCGACTTCAGAAAGGCCCAGGAAAACACTGTCTGGCCCGTCTCCGTCGTTGCATGCATGGGCCCAAAGCCCGAGGCCACATGAGTTTGAATTCCCTGTGATCTCGGCCCCGAACCCGGCTCCCGAACAACCTCAGATCCCGGCGAAGTTTCCGTCGCCGGCGTACACTGCCGATTTGCCGAGGTGGGGCTTCGCCTGGCCGCGTCCAAGAACTGCCCCAGCACCGGTGGAGGCGTCACCCGGCGCGGCGGCAGGGGTCCTCGCCAAGCCCCCATACGCGGCGGCCGGGCCATACTCAAACCGGCCGGCGTCAACACAGGCTTGCGGCCGACAAACCCTGGGGCCACCGACGGCGACCTCGAACCTGCGATCTCCGATCCCTCTGCGTCGTCGATCCCCGATCCATCAGGAATCAAAGACTCTCTCGGCGACACCGGCGACCGATGCTCCCAGAAGCGAGACGCCGGCGTCGGGAAGCCCGCATCGTTCCAGAACTCCTGGACCAATTCCGCCTCCGTTTTCTTCTTCCGGCGATCCACCGTGGTCCACTTCCCACCTTCAGCATCCTCCCGAAGCACTTCTAGTGCTAGCTGCACGCCGACAGCCTGCGCATCCTCCTCGTCGGAGGACTCAATTTCCGATCCCAGGCAAGAGAACCTTGAACCAGACGAGACCTCCGTCGCCGGCGACGTCGTCGGCCCGGCAGATGCCGGCGGGGGTGCCAGGGTCAGACGCCTGCCCCGCATAGTCCGTCAGAATAGCTACAATCAACAAGATCGTCCATGTTTTTTCAGTCGTCGTTAGGAGATGGTTGGTATCGATAGTCATTGTTGTAGCTCGCTGGTAGTTTTTTCTTTGACATTTTAAGATTTGTGTGTGTTCATGTAAAGGCCAGGTGTATGTTCAGTGTGCTTTTATCCTCTCGATATTTCATTTTAAGTCGGTAAAATTCACCCTTGGTCAAAAATGAAAATACACGCATGATGTGCTGAGATCGGAAATAAACAAGCACCTCAGGCCTAAGAGCATCTACAGCCGGACGCTCCAAACCCGCCTCAAATGCCCGGGACTGGATGTTACTGAGGTTAGTCGAGGGGTGAGTCCGTAGAGAGAATTCCGTATGAGGTGGCACACGTAAGTAATGTGCGAGAATGGTCACCACTTCTGTGGCATCTCATACAAGACCGTGCACGCATGTAGCGTTTGGGATTGTGGTTAAGTACTAGCGACAACACATGATGAATTCATTCGGTGGTGCTTCCCAAGTATCCATCGAGTTGCAGGATGAAATCCCTAGGCCAGACGCTAGTTGATCATACTTGTAACTGAGTGTTTTTGGTCATTATCTTGTTGAAGGCATTGCTCGGACTCAATGTTCAGCTAGAATGGCGGCATAGAGCCGTTTTCTTCCCGAAGGCATTGTTGATGAAGAATCTTCCTCGTCGATATGTTGTCAGGAGATGGTTGGTGTCGATTGTCGTTGTCTCAATGTTTTGATCTTTTATTTTTATTTTTCTGTGCACATGCTTATTAGCCATGTTCATCTTAATTGTGCAAAAGCTAGATGTATGCTCATCGTGTTTATGTCCTCTCAATCTTTCATTTGAAGTCAGTAAAAATTCAGCCATGGTCAAAAAAATACATGCATGCACGATGTGCTGAGATCGGAAAGAAACAAGCACCTCAGCCCAGGCCTAACCAACCGAGGAATACGGGCTCGATTCGCATGTTCGTTTGCAGCGAAAAAGGTCGTAAAGCTACGGGCTAGTGTTCTTGTGGGCGCATGCGCGACCTATGTGCAAAAGGAGATCGGTCCATCCATCCAGCATGGGAGCTGGAGGCAAGCTGCATGCATGCTAGCTAGGCTGGTCGTATCTCAGTTGTCGTAGATAAGAGTAGATAGCAATTGCTAGGGGGGCAAAATAGAGGAAGAAGCTGCAGAAGCTGGGTTGGTTCGGCTGGAAAGCAAACCAGCTAGGCCGGTAGGGCAACGGTACCACGGTTGTCACCGTGCACGTACGTCTGGCCGGTCTCATCAAGGTTGATCGCCGAAAAGTGGGAGAAGGGAGGCGCCCAGTGAATGCTGGAGATGACCAGGAGGAGGATCCTCTGACATTCGGCACCCTGTCGTTCTTCCATTGACATGACCCATAGGAAAACTGGTTCACATGTCACTGGGACACACAGCACGGCAGAGGAATCCAGCACGACCAAGAGTTGCCCGGCCACATATAGTTGCACTCAAAATTTTGCTTCTTTTCCATTCAAAGATAGGGTGATCCTCTCTCGATTTCCATTAATAGAAACCAAAAGCTACAATTATTCAACACACAACACCACCGAAAGCATAGTCGTTGCACTCAGCAGTACACAAATGGAAATCGGTTTGCAGATCATCGACCGTGCATGGTAGCGAGCGCAAGTCCAACCACGAACCCCCCTCCTTCGGCGCGCGCGTGCACGCCCTGCCGCCCATGCGCGCACCACCACCAGTCCACCACCACGCTTCTTGACACTGTAGTACATCTTTGGCTCCCATGCCAGCCTATAAATCCATGTACGCGCGCTCCTCACTCTCTCAAACCCAACTGCCACTAACTGTCCAGCTCCTCTGCTCATCTACTCCAGTATAGCACAGCGTCCAAGCTAGCTAGCTAGTGGCTAGATTCCCGGGACAGCGCTCGATCGCGCCTCGGCCTTCCTCTGGGCGTCCATATATAAGCAGGCCCAGTGATCCGAGATTACTCCATCCTTGAGCTGAATCTAACCAACGCGAGCAAGTTCATCAGCTTGCAACGCTTTGCTCTAATGGACGCCCGGACCGCCATTGCGCTGCTCCTCGCGCTCGTGGTCGCCGCGAGCTTCCTCTGCGACGGCGTCCACAGCCGCCACCACCACCACACCAAGCGCCACTCCGTGCGGCCGCCGTCCCACGCACCCGGGCCTGCGGGACCGAGGAGGGCACCTTCACCTAAGCATGGGTCTCCGTCTGCACCACCGCCGGCCAGGACGCCACCGTCAGCCCCTCCAATGCCGGGCGCGCCCGCGCCGGCCCCGTCCGACGATGGCGACAACGTGTACGACGTCATCAAGGACTTCGGCGCGGTCGGGGACGGCGTGACGGACGACACGGACGCGATCAAGACCGCGTGGGACACGGCGTGCCAGGACGACGGGGAGGGCGTCGTCCTCGCGGCCGCCGGGCACTCGTTCCTGGTGCACACCACCACCTTCACCGGGCCGTGCCAGGGCAGCGTCACGCTGCAGATCGACGGCACGATCGTGGCGCCCAGCGAGCCCACCACGTGGCCGGCCAACAGCAAGCGCAACTGGCTGGTGTTCTACAAGGCCGACGGCATGGCGCTGCGCGGCTCCGGGCTCATCGACGGCAAGGGCCAGAAGTGGTGGGATCTCCCCTGCAAGCCTCACAAGGGAGGAAGCACCCACGGACCTTGTGACAGCCCGGTGGTGAGTGGCCTAACCCAGCCACGTACTGCTGCTTCAGGCCTTTAACAGTATTTTTAATGGCCAGTAAGTGCTAAACGCCGGACGTTGATCTCCTGTGCAGGCGCTTAGGTTTTTCATGAGCAACAACGTGACGGTGCAAGGGCTCAGAGTGCAGGACAGCCCGGAGTTCCACTTCCGGTTCGACAGCTGCCGCGGCGTGCACGTCGACAGCCTCTCCATTAGCTCCCCGGCGCTGAGCCCCAACACCGACGGCATCCACGTCGAGAACACCCAGGACGTGCTCATCACCAACACCGTCGTCTCCAACGGCGACGACTGTGTCTCCATCGGCGCCGGCACCCTCAACGTCCACATCGAGAACGTCACCTGCGGCCCCGGCCACGGCATCAGGTTCGCATCCACTTCATTCCTCGTCGTAGCTTTTCTTCGGATGTTATATATACTCCACTCCGGTGGCATTGGCTGACATTGGGTGCTCGCTCTCGTTGCAGCATCGGGAGCCTGGGAAAGCAGGGGTCGCGGGCGTGCGTGGCCAACATCACGGTGCGGAACGCGGTGATCCGGCACTCGGACAACGGCGTGAGGATCAAGACGTGGCAGGGCGGCTCCGGGTCGGTGTCGGCGGTGACCTTCGAGAACGTGCGCATGGACGCCGTGCGCAACCCCATCATCATCGACCAGTACTACTGCCTCACCAAGAGCTGCGAGAACGCCACCACCGCCGTCTTCGTCTCCGACATCACCTACGCCGGCATCCGGGGCACCTACGACGTGCGCGGCCCGCCCATCCACTTCGGCTGCAGCGACGCCGTGCCCTGCACCAACATCACCCTCTCCGGCGTCGAGCTGCTGCCCGCCTCCGGCGACACCGTCGACAGCCCCTTCTGCTGGAACGTCTACGGCAACACCACCACGCCCATTGTGCCGCCGGTGGCGTGCCTCATAGAGGGCGTGCCCAGGAACGTGGATGAAGCTAGCAGCTTGAAGTGTTACTGATGAGCGACGTCAAGCCGTCGCACGCCCCTTATAGATGAGGAAGTAATTAAAACCAGAGAAAATATATTAGGCCAGACAAAAAACTTAGTTAAAGCATGGTCGTGTGTAGTATAAATTACCTATATATTGTATATAGAAAGATGAAAATGTAACAGTATGAGATGATTTGCGTGACAGTTACCAGAATATACAGCAGAATGTTCTGTAACTTTTGTTACCATATATTACTTCTTTCTTGTCAACTTATAGTGTATGTAATATTTTTCAAGAAAATAAACTCTATAATAAATTTTTTTAGAGAAACTTCCATTATTCAACATTCGCAATGGCAGTACAAGGACACAAGAAAAATTATATACAGGTTCGTAGACCACCGGGCAAGAAGAAGGCGCACCACCGTCATTGTCCCCCTCTCACCGAAGCCAAGAAAATTAGTTGTAGTAGACACTCGAGAGTCGTCATGCTAAGGATCAGCACACCAGAACAACAACCGCCACAGATGAAGAGAAGTGGCGCCGTGTATTCATAGGCATGAGTGTATGTATGTGTTTGCGAGCATCGCGTCTGTAATGTGTTTCTTAATTTATTTATTTTTGGATATACCTCATCAATTTTTTCTACTAGCACATGAATCAGCTCGGAATTCCATCTAGAGTTTTCTAACGAAAAATATTTTTGTGAAGTCTGTGAACAAGTACCCTTATGGCTTTATGAAATCTATAATTCCGTGTTGTGGCCCTGAAAGATGGTCTATGGACATGAACATAATTTTTATTATTTATGTGTTCTTTGTATTGCCATGGAATAATGAATGGATTGAAAATTTCCTCAGAAAAAAGGATTAGACCCTTCTTTAAGCTCTGGAATCATCAGAACCATGATCAAGCTCGGTGGCACATTTTCCGCAGGATCTAGCATAGTTCCGCGCATCTCTGTCAACAATGTATTCATAGACTACTTGCTGATGACAAACTTTGTTTTCCGTTAGCTCCCCGTCCACAGACCCCTTCCCGCACGGCCACAACTTATAAAACCCAAATTGACAAAGGGAGCACTGTGGATCTCAAACATTATCAAGGATTCAAGGTACAATAATAGATACTACATGGCCTAGCAAAAGGCACAATAAAGGTATCACCGAATGTGCGGCAAGAATTAAACAAAAGCAATCCGGGGCCTCGCAACGCATGCCTAATAACTTTGTGCCCTGATAACGCCACCCACATAACAGAGCGAGAGAAAGGCGTGCGACGACTCTAGACGACTTAACAAGCTAGTATGCCCCCTCAAAAGCAAACTAATAGTAACTGTATTTACAACACTTTCTATATATTTTTTGCGAGAAAAACACTTGCTATCTTATTTTTTTAAACACAATCCAGACACAAGCGCTCATATATACGTGCATACGGTCACCCATATGAACGCGCACACGCACACCCTATCATATGAACACCTTTGAGAGACTGAGCCGGCATATCATATTGAGATTTTACGAAGTCGCCGTAGGAGCCTCATAGTCTACGAGAACGTCTCCTACCACTGAACGCGCATTGCTGAAAATCTTGAAATAAATTCAGGATAAATGCAAACACCAGAACTTGAACCCTGATGGGCTGGGCATACCACTGTCCTTCTAACTATACAATCATATGTTGGTTCGCACTTGTTATCTTGTTATTGCGGGCCTTTTCCTATATTTTTTTAGGAGTGAAAACAAGCACCTAGCTATGTAAGACCTAACCAACCAAGAAGTGTCGGCCCAATTCGCATGTTGGGTTGCAGCAAAAGGAAGGTCGTAAAGTCATTTGATTAGTGTTCTTGTGGGCGCGTGATGACCTATACGCAAAGGGAGGTCGATCGATGGAGAGGGAGCTGGCCGGTGCATGTTGGCACGCAAAGTAGTACGGTGCTACCCTGTAATTGCTACTCGATCCCACATACATGATCATCAGCCTGTACATGATGGTCGTCCGATCGACGTTGGGTGGACGCATCACGCAGACAGGATAGGGCTAGCCAGGCATAATCCTACCCAAGGAAGGAGGAGAAGGTAAAGCGGAACCCCGAGGCGCAGGCAATCTCGGAGCGCCACTCACAGTGCACCCGCACCGGCGCGATCGGCACCCATGCACATGCAACATGGCTCGGAAATCGGAATCGATCGAGCCGCGAGTGATGGAGAGCTCGGTGCCTGGCCTGTTCTCGAGCCAATTGCACCCCGCACGCCCGATCGCGCCGGCCGGCAAGCAGATCGCCGGGCATGCTCGCGTTGCGGCGTGACACATGACGCATCACGCGCGGGGTGGAATGGAAGAGAATGGGGTGGACGGCCGGGTCGGCGGGCGGGCGCACGCACGCATGCGGTGGCGGGGCGGCCGGAGTCAGTCAGTCGTAAAAGGTGGAGAGGCACTGCCGTCGCTGCCACGACGGCCACTACGTAACGTAGCCCACCCAATATGGCTGGGCTGACCGCCTCCCCCCACGTCACAATATCATATGTGTATTTCGCACTCTCGCGTGGAGGGTGGCAATGGCACGCGCGACATCCAGTTGCGGCGTTGCGTCCGTGTGTTGGCCGGCCGGTTTGCTTTCTTTGCAATTTGCATAGTGCTGCTGCACGTGCTAGAATATTCTAGTCGCTTCTAAGCTTTTTGGCTGTCGGATTGAAAACTTACCAGATGTGGTGGAATTTGTGGTTGCCGGAGAACACCGCCAGTTTCCCGGCCAGAATTTCCGAAGAATTTTGTTTTTGAAATGTACTCCCTCCATAACAAAATAAGTGTACAAGGTTGAGACACTTAAAACATCTACAGCCGGACCTCTTAAATCCGCCGTACGTGCGGGCGGGCCGCCCGGTTAGTGTTCGGTCATGATTTTTTAACCCAGGCGGCCCATCAAATGGCCCTCAAACGCCTGGGCTGACCAACACCCACTATATCCAGCTCAAATATGAGCCGAATATGGGGGCGCCCGAGCGCGCACGGCCACGCCCGTCACATTGGACCCGGCGCACGCTGGCCCACCCGACCCCACATAAAAGAGTCTTGCTACACACACGATGAAATTGGACGATGCACAGACGATGGATTAAATCTGGCCGGACAAACGTTGATTGAGAAGGGTGTCGGCCGCTGGATTTACGTGCCATGCATAGATCGGCCACTTGTGTCGTGCATGGAGCAATTTCGCACATAAAATCATTCCCATTCGCTCGCCGAAACAAACCCTAACCATTTCACTCCCCTTCCCTCTGCCACCCAAACTCATCTCTAGCCCCTTCTGGACGTCTCCAGCATGGCGAACAGCGGATCCGAATCCTTCACCTCCAGATCCGTCGACCCCAAGCTCATCCCACGCGGCCCCGAGGAGGAGACGGCCGTCCGGCTTACGCTCCGCCGCGTCCGGATCTCTCTCTCTCTCTCTCTCTCTCTCTCTCTCACACACACACACACACACACACACACACACACACACACACACACACCTTTGTATACCCTTACAACTAAAAGTTACAAATATATAGTAGGAAAGCCTGCCATAGATGCCATTCGGATTTAATTACAAGTTTACAACACCAAGCTGCACACAATTGAGGAAGATATATATGAAGGAAATATGCTCTGGAGGCAATAATAAAGTTGTTATTTTATATTTCCTTATTCATGATAAAGGTTTATTATTCATGCTAGAATTATATTGTTCGGAAACTTAAATACATGTGTGAATACATAAACAAATATCATGTCCCTAGTAAGCCTCTACTAGACCAGCTCGTTGATCAAAGATGGTTAAAGTTTTCTAACCATAGACATGTGTTGTCATTTGATAATGGGATCACATCATTAGGAGAATGATGTGATCGACAAGACCCATCCCTTAGCTTAGCATAATGATCGTTGAGTTTTATTGATATTGCTTTCTTCATGTCAAATACATATTCCTTCGATTATGAGATTATGCAACTCCCGGAAACCGGAGGAATGCCTTGTGTGCTATCAAACGTCACAACGTAACTGTGTGATTATAAAGATGCTCTACGGGTATCTCCGAAGGTGTTTGTTGAGTTGTCATAGACCAAGACTAGGATTTGTCACTCCGAGTATCGGAGAGGTATCTTTGGGCCCTCTCGGTAATATACATTATAAGCTTGCAAGCAAAAGACTAAGGAGTTAGTCATGAGGTGATGTATTACGGAATGAGTAAAGAGACTTGCCGGCAACGAGATTGAACTAGGTATGAAGATACCGACGATCGAATCTCGGGCAAGTAACATACCGATAGACAAAGAGAATTACGTATGTTGTCATAACGGTTCGACCGATAAAGATCTTCGTAGAATATGTAGGAGCCAATATGGGCATCCAGGTTCCGCTATTGGTTATTGACCGGAGAGGTGTCTTGGTCATGTCTACATAGTTCTCGAACCTGTAGGTTCCGCACGCTTAACGTTCGATGACGATATAGTATTATATGAGTTATGTCATTTGGTGACCAAATGTTGTTCGGAGTCCCTGATGAGATCACAGACATGACAAGGAGTCTCGAAATGGTATAGAGGTAAATATTGATATATAGGACGATGGTATTCGGACACCAGAAGTGTTTCTGGGGGTACCGGGTACTTATCGGGTCACCGGAAGGGGTTCCGGGCACCCCCGGCAAAAGATATGGGCCTTATGGGCCAAGAGGGGAAACACACCAACCACAAGGGGCTGGTGTGTCCCCCATATGGGCCAGCCTAGGAGGAAAAGAAAAGAGGGGAAGGAAAAGGAAAGAGAGGAATAGTGAAAAGATCTAGATGACGACTAGAGGGGGGGGGTGAATAGGCGTTTTAAAACTTTTACGGATTTGGCTTTATCCTAATGTGGAATTAAACAACGGATACTTTTCATGCATAAATCCTAAATATGCTAGGCTCAACTAAGTGCACCAACAACCTATGCTAAACAAGATAGGCACTAAAGGAAACTAGAAAGCACAAACTATATCACAAGATAAGGAAATGTAGGAACTACTAAGCAATTCAACTAGCACAAGATATATCAATACGAGCAAGTATGAATTGCAGAAAGTAAAGGGTGTGGGTATGAGATAACCACAAGTGAGTCGGAGACGCGGATTTATCCCGAAGTTCACACTCGTGAGAGTGCTAATCTCCGTTAGAGCGGTGCCAAAGCCAAAGCTCCGTGGTGTCACCAAGTGACTCACCGTATTCTCCCTTCCGAGTCACCCCCAACGGATGAGCCTCGGTTTACTCGGGGTTGGTCTTGAAGGAGACCACCACACCTTTACAAACTTCTCCGGAGCACACCACAACCACGGAAGCTTCCGGAGGAACTTGACCACCTAGGCCACTTCAACACCCTTCCCCGGAGCACACCATGAAAGGAAGCTTTCGAGGGAACCTTGGCCACATAGGCCTCTTCACAATCTTCTCAATGTATCACCAAACCATCTAGGAGGCGAAGCCTCCAAGAGTAATAAACTCACGGGCTCTCACTCGAACGAATCGATGCGGGGAGATAAAACCAAGGCAACAAATGCAATGCAAGGTCAAGCAACAAATGCTCAACTCACTCTCTCAATCTCGCAAGATGCAACTCAAGAAAGTATGGGATTGAAGAGAGGGGATGCAATGGAGTAAATCAACAAATGACTCCAAGATCCATCCACAACCCCCCTTCACTTAGAGGGGAGATAGGGGTTTGGGAGAGGTGGTAAGAGGCTCAAAATGATGTTTAGAATGTGAATAAAACAACCCCCAAACCGGTGGGGAGGAAGGGCTCTTTTATAGCCAACTTCCAAAACTAGCCGTTCGGGCTCCAACGGACACTTCCTGGACACCCCGTGCCCACGAGGTCCCGTGCGTACGGTACAAGCCCGTGTGCACAGGGCCCCGTGCCCACGAGGATCAAAAACCCCGTATTCACGGGGTACCCAGAACAGCCTGCAGCGGCCCACTAAAACAGTGATAACTTTGGCATA